AAGAATTTTTGGAGGATTTCAAAGAAAAGAATAATTTAATAGACTAAAAAATTTATTATTTTTATTTATTGTGAATTTTAAATTGTCACTTTTTAAGTGTTACTCCCTATTGAAAGTGTCGCTTTTTGGCTGTCACTTTTTCGGAAATTCTTATATACTCGCATGGACTTCGTCCTCGCCGCGTTGCGGCTTTATGAACTCATGAATTCTATCATAAGTTATTTCACCATTGTAGTCTTTAATGAAGTCGGCGAGTGATTTTTTGTTTGTCGCGTAATGCTTTGCAACATCTATGTTAGCTTCTGTAAGAAGTTGTTTTATTTCCGAGTGTTCTAACTTAGACAACTTCCGATACATCTTTAGTAGGAAATAAAAAAATATTTTTTTGAAAAAATTAGATTAGATTTTTTTTTAAATTATTTTTTCAAAATAATTTAATATTTTTATTTTAATGAAACACATGCAAGATTGCAAGTTCTTTTCATACAATGCTCTCGCTACTGCCATCAAGAATGAGTTCAATGGTGCTTCAAACGTTAATGTTATCTTTAACAAGAAGTTTGTGAAAGAATCTAAGTTTGGTCAGTATGTCAGACCATTAGCTATTGTCATTGACCGCAAACGTTATACTTCACAAGAGTTAGCAGTAGTTTTGAAACAAAAGGGTTTCTTCGTGAATGTCAAAGATACTCATTATACTGTTATAAAGAACTCTAACATTGACTTCTTCAGTATTGCTATGAATCTTTCCGAACAGAAAGAATATAAGAAGGGTGAAACAAATGTGAAATATTATCCTTCATCTCTGAAGACAATAACGAACAAAGATGTTATACAGAAATTCTTACAAAGGTTGAAGAAGCTTCTATTGACATTGACGAAGAAAGTGAAATGGTTGAAGAAATTGACCCTGACGTCATTTAAGCAAAAATATATTTTTTTTTCATTCTTCCTCTTTGAAGTTGTCGAAATATTCTGTTATTTTTTCCTTCAGTAATGGTAAGTCTTCTTTGAATGTAAGTATTGTGCAACCTTTGATGTCATAGTGTGTTTGAGGAAGAGTACTTTTGACAATTTCCTTTATTTGCTCATTCGGTGTCATTGAAATCGGTAAGTTTTCACGATAGAACCAGTTTCTGTCAGATTTATATATTTTAGCGAGGTCATAAAAGCTCTTGTTGTTTCTTCTGACTAAATGCAACATAACCATATCTTTATCTTCTTCTTTCTCCAACTCTTCAGTATATATCATATACTTATAACTCTTTTCCTTTCCTTTTGGTACTGAACGTGGTATTCTTTTCTGTATGCTTTTGTCTTTGGATTCAATGACTTCATCTTTTGCTTGAAGTTTCTTTTCCATCTCTCCACGTTCTGCTTTATATAGTTCATCTAACATCATGAAAATATAACAAGCATAACGAGGTGAAGCCCACATTGCTACAGCATTTACTAAAAGTCTATGAACATAATAACCTTTCAAACCAGGTGCCAAATTCTTGCGATTTTCGAATGGAATCTCTTCTCTCGGTTTTCCGAGGGAAGCAATCATATGAGGAAATTCTTCTAAAAGTTCTTTTGTCTGTTGGTTTTCAAACCAATGATATGCTTGCTTTGTAGAACGAAGAGCGTTCATTATACTTTGCATTTGGTACATGTCATCTTTGACCGAACGAATGAGGCGAAGTTGTTTGTTATATTGTATGTATTCGTATTCTTCATTTATAGCTTCATGAACGATAGCAGTTGTTGTGTTCTCTAATGTTGACATTACTGTCTTTACATACAAAATAAAAAAATAAATAAAAATAAAACTAACTTTATTTTCTGACTTTCACAAAAGACCAAAAATAAACGCTTTACATGTATTTTTCAGCAACTTCGTCAAATAATTTTATAGCTTTATCTATCTCATCTACTTCAAACGTTTCTTTACCTTTCATGGGAGCACCATACATTTTCTCAAACTTTTCAAGTAGTTCTGTTTCTACAGCTCTCATATCATTAACGAACACAACCTTGACTCTATTGACTGTACTGTCATATCTTTGAGTTATATTATATGTTCTTCCTATCTTATATCTCTTTGTATTGAAGTCCTTCGGTTTCTGAACGATGTAAAGTAAGCCTTCACTGCAACGTTCCGTATCGAATGAACCATATGTTATGAAGTTATATCCAACAACTGGGTCAATCCATAACAAAACTATTGGTATAAGACTTTTGTCAATGAGATATGCTGTAGTTCCATAGAATCTTACTGATATCATAAGCTCAGGATTTCTTGTCAAAATTTTCTGAGTTGAAGCATTTCTAACCCAATGGTTTGTTTTCTTTTCAGATGGAGATATAATGTCTGACAAAGAATATTTGTTGTATTTCTTTGAGTATCTTACGTTTAAATCACCTATTCTAACCACTTTGGTGTCATTGTCTATCTTTCTAACTGTTTCAAACTCAATGTTTGTCATTTCTGTCTTTACATACAAAATAAAAAATTTTCTTAGAAAAAAATTAGCGTTATTTTTTTATCTTAAGGAAAATTCATGATTTTTGTTGCTGAATTCAATAAAAATATATTTTAGGTGAAGAGGTGAGATTTCACCAGTTTTCTCACCTAATTTTTCACCCCAGTTATTTTATAAGCGTTTTACATGAATTGTACGATGTATATTTGAAATTCTAAACAATTTCGTAGCTTCTATTTCTTCTGTCAGTATGTCAAAAGTTTTAACAATGCCGAAAGTTTCTTTATACTTCTTCTTGACATCAGATAATAGGAAATCGTCAGCTGTTGGATAGTTTTTGTTCAGAAATGCTAACATGTCCATTTTATCTTCTGCTGGTTTCTCTACTTCTTTCTTTAAGTCAGCATAGTCGTTTCTCATACGTTCTATCTCTTTGACGGAGTAGTTATATTTCCTCATTGCTGCTTTACATTTTGAACATTGCGGATTCATTTTTGCGTTATACATTGAAATTTGACCTGCTAGAACAACTAAGGCGTCAATGGTTTTCTTTAACTCAAAAGTTGTTGGTTTTATTTGTCCATTCCATATTTTACATCTTTTATCCTTATCTCTTATCTGCCATACACATTCAGCAACTAATGAAACAAAGTTGTCGTATGTCTTAAACTCCCCAGATTTATATATGTCAGAGATGTTCTTATATACCATGTCGCAATCTTTGTCCATAACTTTATGGTTGCAATGATATCCTAGAAACTCATAGTTTACTTTACGTATGAACTTCTTTATTTCTACTGAGTCAGTTGGTTTCACTTCTATTTCATCGAATTCATGAATAGTGAGCTTTTGTTGTTGGATTTCAGGCAATTTGGGTAAATGGTCAATAATGTCCTGCATGTCATAAAGATACTGTTCATTTGTTTCATCTTTCGCACTACAGTCTAAATTACTTGTTAAAAGTTCTTGCTTAATTCTTTGTATTTCTGTCTCAAAAGTATATGAAGAAGGAATGAAGCTTTTCATCTCTACTAACATAGATGTAGGATTCATGACTAAAGAGTTTGGTGCTGTAGTTGTTTGAATTGTTGTAGAACCTATTGTTGAAATCATATCTTTACATACAAGATAAAAAAATAAATAAAAATAAAACTAACTTTATTTTTTCTATCTTAAGGAAATTCATGAAAATTCACGAGAAAGCAAAAGCAATCTGAGCCGCTAAGCGGTGAGGGTGAGAAAACAGGTGAAAAAACAGGTGAAATCTCACCTCTTCACCTAAAATATATTTTTGTCTGATTTACATCCAACGAAAAAGTTTAGAAGAATTTTCTCATTCTTTCTGGTAAATGCTTTGTCTGATTTACATCTAATGAAAAAGTTTAGAAGAATTTTCTTATTCTTTCTGGCATATTTTTATCTTTCCAGTACTCCCGCTCTAATGGTCCCAGATGTGTTTGGCTTCGTTTCTTTTGTATATACTTTTCTTCTTGTTGTTGTGTCATTGAATTTGGTGTATGTCCTGTTGTAGAATTTGTTGAGGAATTATATACTTCGAGAAAATGTTTCATTGTTTCTTCGGTAAAGTCTCGCTCTTGATTTAAATCTCTGAGCGTTCTTATGAAGCGATTAATGATGCCGAGTATGTTATGGTTATGGTCTTCAGTAGTGTAGTGAGTTATGTTATGCTTAATGAGAAATTCTGTGATTTCGTTGCTGAGGTATGCACTGTCTTGGTCTGATGTTAAAGTACTTGGGTTATGTTCTGCTACAAACTTTTGTAAAACTCTTAACACTTCACGAGTTCCTTTATTTCTCATTATATACGCAAAAGCTTTGCGAGTGTTAACATTTATGAAGATGAGGAATGGTTTATGTCCTCCTTTTCTGCTTTGAATGAGAGTGTCAAATTGGTATGCATCAGGAGTGTTGGACTAAATTGGTAAAAAGTAGTCGTAAGGATTTATTTTTGTTTGATGTACAACATTTTTGTCAAAGAACTTTTTAACTTCAGCTCTGTTAGTAAATCCCCAACTCTTTGCAGCTTCATTGAATTTCTTAAATGACCTCCATGGATGTTGTTCGAATACTTCTTTCAAGCTCATTTATGTAAAGTTAAAGATTTCATTGAACGCGGTAAGTCTAGACCCTTTGAGTCAAGGCTCAAGTGTGTTTATTGAACGCGGTACCATGCGAATACAGTCATAAATGGAGGCATATAATCTGCACCCGAACCTGTTGGATTTGTTGTGAAAGTGTGTGAATGATTTCCTCCTGGTTCAGTTGGTCGAAAAGTCTTTTTTGCCGAATGGTTATAATCTGGAGATAAAACGTCATTGCCAGCATAATATTCTGAGTTGTATAATGGATGGTCTCTTAATGAGTGACTATGGTCACCAGAAAAGTTTGTAGTTCCTGTATGAGTGTGCGGTGGAAGGTTTGCTTCTTTAATTTTCTTCGAACCACCTGTTTGCTTTGAAGAGTTCGCACAATAGAGGAATTTATCTACAATCTGTTCCCACGTACCAAAACCTAAAACACTTGCTGGATTTGTTGAGTGGCATTGACGTATAAATAGAGCCTATAGGATTTTGGTGTTGGAACTAATGGTGCTAAAAGAGAGACTAAATCATTGTTTGAGTATGCTGGGAATCTGAGTGTTGCTGTGGTAGCAGCCATAACGTTTGAAACTAGCATGTTCATCTCGCGGAAAGAGTTTTCTGTTTTTCCTCCTTCTGTTCGCTTCTTGGATACACCACCAGGAGTAACTGGATTTGTAATTGCACCTAATGCGGTGTTATCAAGAACAACAACTGCATCGCAATTGTTTGTCAATCTCTTTAATGTTAAAATGCTATTGTATGGGGCAACAACGACATCTTTATCTTCTTCACCGGGGAATACTGAGTATGAAATTGTAGTTGCTTTCTTATATTCATCTGATAACTTTTCAATAAGGAATGAGCCAAGACCAGATCCTGTACCACCACTAATTGAGTGTGTAAAGATGAATCCTTCAAGAGCATCGGCAACTTCGACTTCACGACGAACAATTTCTGAGAATGCTTCGTAATGTGCTTCACCTTCTGCATAACCCGTACCCCAAACGTTACCAGCACCACTACCTTCAACACCGATGTACATATTTTCTGCGTTAAAGAAATCTTTCAGTTCTGAGTTTTTAATTCCCATAATAACTCTAGGTTCAAGATCGATCAAGATCGCGCGCGGAATATACCGGCCATCATCTGATGAGTAGAAGAAGATATCTTTACGATCTTCGAGTGTATTTTCTGGTTCTCTCAAAACTCCATCTGGGCCAATTCCGTGTTCTGTGGAAAGTGTTTTCCAGAATTCAAGCCCGATGGAGTTACCGCATTGACCAACTTGTATTGTAATGATCTTTTTACTCATTTTCTTTTCTTAAAAATGAAATAATAAAAGTGAACGTTTATTAATTCTCAAAATATTTTTTTAATCATGGATTAGTCTACAATGGTATCATCGAAATTTGCATTAAAAAGTATCTTATTGTTTGAAAAAAATTATAGATTCTGAGCTCAAAGTTTATTATCGGATTGTTTTGGATTCATTTGCTTTGAAAATGGATATATTAACACTCAAAGCGATGAAAGGGCTAAACCATTCTTCGATTAAAATCTGATAAAACGAATAAATTTAAAAAGAAAGGTAAAACAAATACCTGAATATGCTTATCCAATACTCTTACATGACAATTAATATTCGTTAGTTAGTTTTGTAATCTAGATGACTCATTATTCTAGATAATGATTTTGATTCAAAGTTTGTGCTAAAAAAAGCACCATTCATTTGTTAGAAGCCATGTTGAATTTTTTTTCTTTTTCGAGGGGGAAAAAACCATGGTGGTAAATTTCTTGGTGGAAAAAAAATTCAACAATACAGTTTGATCAATTTTTTTTAAAAGCGAATCATGGGTCTGAGCTTCAATGATAAATTGGCTAAAATCAAAGAGCTAAAGCATTCTAATGATTTTGCAAGTGTTTATGATTTCCTTGATGAACTTTCTACAGAAGGAGAACTTGAATTGCTGTCAAAGGCATGTGAAGAAGGACTTTGGGAAAAGAAGACACCTCAAGATCAAAATGTTATTGCGAAGAATGTACTTCATGTCGCATGTGAAACAGGAAATCTCAAACTTGTTAAATCACTAATTGAATGCGGTTGTGACAAAGAAGTAAAGAATAATTATGGAGATACCCCACTCATAGCTGCAACAATGTATGGTCAATTTGAAGTTGTTTAATATCTCATCTCAGTTGGAGCTAATAAAGAAGGAAAAAATAAATTTAGATATACTCCACTTATTTATGCATCACTTTATAACAATCTTGAACTTGTCAAATATCTAATCTCTATTGGAGCAAATAAGGATGCAAAGACTGATGAAGGGAAAACTGCCCTGACGTTGGCACGTGATGATGTCAAAAAATATTTACAAAAAATCGGTGCCAAGTAACTCAATCATAATTTCATTCAAATTTTTAAAATCTGATTTTTTAAACATATTTTTGAAGTGGAAAAACTTTGTTTCAAAATCAAGCATTTATTCATGCAATAACAGAATAATAAAGGAATAAAAAGATTCAGGAATCACTATCTTTTGAGTCTTCTTCCTGAGATATTTTATAGATTTTGAAACAGTGAAAAAAAAATAGGGTATGATTATGTTTATTCATATAAATATCAATTCTATCATAGAGTAGAGATGTCAAAACTTAAATTTTATAATCCCTGGGATGCACTTTCTTCGATTTTTTTTAAATTTTTGGGATAAATTTTGACATCTTTTTTTTTTGCTGGCGACCCCCCCCCCGTTTAGGGCATCAAAAAAACATGTTGTTTCGTTTCAAGATCGGGATATGTTGTGAACCCGACTTCTTTCATTAATGAAGTGATTTCTTAAGTTGAATAAAAACAAATTTGATTGAAATTCATACAAAATTTCTTTTTATCATTATTATTTAAGATGCTTTTTTATGTTGAATTGTTAATTTTTTTATTTCCACCTGGGATATTTTGAATTGGGCTAGCCCAATCCCACCTCTCAATTTTCTCTCAATTGGGCAATGGGGATCCCACATAAAATGTATTGTAACAAAATTTTACATGCATAATATAGTACAATTAAACAACATTCTAAAAATATTAAATTCACATCATTTACTTGAAGATTTTATATTTTCAACAAAAATTAATACAATAATTACATTAAATTGAGGAGATTTATAATATTTATTATAAATTAAAATATTATTACTCATTAATTTGTTGAAATATTGCATTTTAGTGGTAAAAATTAAAATTTAAGTTTACATGGAGAAAAAAAATTTTTAAATTCCAAAAAAAATTCAATTGGGATAACGATAGGGACAAAAATTTAGAATCCCCATATGCTTGGGATAAAATCACATGACTACATAGAGAAAAAGAACATTTAAGTGCAAAAAATTGAATAGTTGTAAACTAAGGCAGTGATCCCTTAAGTATGCACTTACGCTCGAATGACATATCATTCAATTCAGATATTTAAAATTAATTTTTAATGACGCTTCACGCCAGTTGTCAAAAATTTGAATTGGTAATCAGATGGAGGTAATTGCACCTTTAAGGGATCACTTTCCACTTTCTGACATTCTCTCAATTATTTTTCTGACATTTTTGGTCCGGATAATACCTAATATTGCTGTAGTGTTTTTTGTCATTAATTTTATGAGAGAATATCAGAAAAAATTTCTTTAAGGGTGCACTTCCCACTTTCTGACATTCTCTCAATTTTTTTGACACTCAAGCTTTCTATCCCAATATTATAAGGTCAAAAGTTAATATTTTTGGCCAGGAGAAAGTAAATACAAATCACATATAGTGCCTAATATGGCTGCTATACTTTTCTGCTATTAAAATAAAGATATATTTGATTTTTTCATAGCTTGTCAGAAAGTGGTAAGTGCACCCTTAAAAAAAGATGAATTTTATTAAAAAAAAAGATTATTTTATTTAAATTTACTTCTTAAGAACTATACGGAAAGCAGGTGTTTCTACTTCGTTATCATCCTCATCGACACAAACAGGTGTAACATTTACATAGATCTGTCCCTCATTGATCGGCTGTTTAAGTTCATTCTTCAAAATATTAGTAATCTTAGTGTTCAATCTCTGCTTCTTCTTCTCAGGAGGATTCATGTAACTCATGTAAACAAGGGAAGAACCAACAGTGATCATATCAACAACAACGTTGTATTTCTGCTTTGCCTGGTCGATGAACTCCTGAACAGTTACATCTCCCTCGATATCCCATGTTGTCCAGAGTGAGTATTCCTCATTTGTTGCAGTGCATTTCTTCTTTGGACATTCGCCTGGTTCTGAGATAGAGAACAAACTCAATGCCAAGTTGATGAATCCTGATCTGAAATCAGTCAACTTCTTTGGCTGAATTGAGTGGATCTTGTACATCTCGAGAGAGACAAATCCACAGATCATTGCTGTTGTTGTGGCAATGGCTGGAATGATCTTTCCTGCAATTCTCTTGATCTCTAATTTGGATGCGTTCTGGATTTCGTAGTTTGATGCTCTTAAGTTTGCTGCTGAGGCAACAAAGTCCATGTGGCCGTTTGAGTCATCGTCCTTCTCGAATTCCTCTTGGTTGACCTTGTGGAAGGATGATTTGGCTGCGGAAAGTTCCTTGATGAGGTTTTCTTTCTCGATTTCGTCTTGTGTCAATGGATCTGCTGATGCATCACGGACAGGAGCTGTGGCTTTGATTGCTTCGTTGGCAAAAGCAAGTTCTACGGCATCTCCTTCTGGTTTGATGTTGAAAATGCGGGCAAGAATCTGAGATGTAGAGCGGATGAAGTTGCCAAGCTCAACATTGGTCTTGTCGAAGGAGATTGGGGATGGGAATCTCTTGTTTCCGGTCCAGAATGGAACACCTGTCTCAGAAACGTAATCTCTTGGGAATTGTGTGCGTAACTCGTTGATCTTGTCGACAAAGAGCTCTTCGAACTTGCCGCGAGCTATTCTGGCGCAATCTGAGAAGTTCTTTGGATGGTGGTCGACCATGAAATATTTGATCGTTCTGAGTGTTGGTAAAACGCTTCCTGGGTCATTGACCTGCATTGTAGAGATGTAGTCTTCGTCCGTAATGTACTTGTTGATCGATGTTGGCATTGATTCGAACAATCCAGTGAAAATATCACGAGCCCACATGCAGCAGTGGTCCAAGTTGGATGGGAAGTTATGTAATGTGCATTGTGGAATATCTTTCTCTGGTGGATCGGCTGTTGATGAGTAACTTTCTGTAAGATATGGAATAATCATCTGGTAGTGAGCCTTTGTGCCCAAAGTACCGGACTCGAGCATTGGCTTCTTGTAGAAAACGCACTGTTGGTCGGAATAAAGACGTGTTTGGACATTATCCAAAGCATTGCAAACTCCGGACAATTGTGTAAAGAAATCGTCGTTGTAAATGTTTTCGGACTCTTTTCCGACTCTGTTTGTATGGGCTTCGATTTTGATGTCTTTGTTCATGACTTTGGCTGCTTCTCCAGCTGCTGTTGATTTCATCTTGCCGATATCCTTGTCTCTGAAGAGGAACTGTCTGTTGAGGTTAGAGCGCTCGATGGAATCCATATCTGTGACGATGACTCCGCCATTTCCTTTTGTAGCGACGCCCATCATGGCCCAGTTCTTGAGCATCTCGCAGCCAAGAGCTCCGGCACCGAGCATGAAGTAGCGGAGGTTCTGCATGGCCTCCTGTTGCTCATTTCCGAAAATCATGCGGTATGGATCGTAGCGGTCGCCTGTCAAAGCGATCTTTGGCTCTGTTGGAAGGGCCTCGATGTAGCCGATACCGAGGAATTGGTCGATTGGAGTAAATTTGGAGGAAACAGCCTTGAGAACTTCCTGGCCAGCAATGCCGCCGAAGACGGCGCATGTTGGGGAGATGACGGACTCTGTTCCCATAGCGAACAACTTGAAGAGCTTCTCATCAATCTCATCAACGATTTTATGAGCGGAATTGAGCTCTTTGGCAGCGGCCAAGAGCTGCTCCTCTGTAATTTTCGGACTGTTTGTTTGTTCAATGACCTTTGACATAGCGAGGAAAGCGAGAACAACTTGTTGATCGCGGCCGAAGCAGCCCCAATCGAACTGGACGATCTTTTCGTTGACGTGGTTGAGGGCTTCTTCTAATGCCATGTAATGGAACTCCTTTGGAACAATAACTTGGTTGCCGTAGCCAGATCTGTGGACTGATGTATATTGGCCGAATTTTGTTGTATCTCCAATGGTAAATTGTCTTGGAGAAATAACCTTGACTTCGAACTCCTTGTCGTTGACCTCTGTCATGCCTTCGACTTCTTCGAATCTGACGTGATCTCCATCAGAAAGATGGTGTGGCTCATCGGCATCGCATGTAACCTTACCTTCTTCGGCGTTTGTGATCATGTTGATAAGGAATCTGGATGGACGTTCGCCAATTGCATCATTTGAAACAAATGAAGCGCCAAAGTCTGTGAAAATGTAACCAAAGACACCACGGCAGTCAACAACAATTAATTTGATGCTGTTGGCATGGCAGATAGCGGCGATCTTCTTGATCTGTTCAAGGGATCTCCAATCTGTTAAAACTACGCAGTTGTATTTCTTGATTGATTCTTCTGTGATTTCATCTGTGTCAACAGCGACGGATACGTAGTTGTTAAGGCCAATAAGTTCATTGTAGCAGGCAATTGCACGATTCTTGCCAATTTTAGACTCATCGAGATAGAATTGAGCAGCTAAATCGAGCATTGTGACTGTGCGTGTGTCTTGAATTGTAACATTCTTGATACCGGCAAGAATGATGTTCTTTGCAATTTCAACACCAACACCGCCCATTCCGGAGATGAGGACTGAGGAAGAAACGACTTTTTTCATAGCATCAACACCAAGGACATAGAGTTGGCGGCTATAAAGGTCTTCGTCAACTTGAACAGTAGACATTTTAAAATGATAAATTTGTAAAAGTTGTCATTTTTTCATTGTATCCGACCAAATATAGTCAAAAATTTTTTTGATCAAAATTGATATAACAAATTGTCTAAAACTAGTTAAAAATATTTGATTAAAGTTGAGATAACAAATTGTCTCAGTCATTCTACTGTATTTTCTTGATTTCAATATATTTTTTTTGTTTTGCTAAAATGCCTATTTGATAATATTTCTATAATCGATGATAACATGTAATTTCATCACCATTCGGTTATTGTGATTAATTGAGTAATATAAGATTGATAATCTCATTCTGATTGTGATAATTCGAGAGACAAGAGGAGATAACGCAACATACTGTGTCTGATAATGTACTAGGATTGAACAAATCTCTCACAATCTTTTTATGAAATCGAGCATTTGAGCGAAAAGACTTTTTATTCGGATCTTCATATCTAACATCAGTAACAAAACAATTCAAATACTACAATTACCATAAAAAATACTTTGGCATTTTTGATTAAAATCGATCTTTAATTTAAAACATTTATGACTCACAGAGCTAAGATTCTTAAAGAATTGAAAATAATGTATAAAAAAGACAACTTTATAAATATTTATTAACAAATTTTACAAAAAAATAAGATAAGATATAGTAAAACTTCTATTTCTACTTTCTAAAAACAAGGAGAACGGAACTGTGGTCTGTTATTCCGTAGCTTGAAATTGTATTTTGAGGATTTAAGACTTTTCCATTAAACATGACATCAAATGGTGGATTTCTGCTTTCTTTGAATCTGATTTGTGTTAAAAGATCATCAACTTTTCTAGAACCGGAGATATAATAAGGAACATCGCTACAAGATTGATGCTGGACAATAATTGTGATTTCATCACCTTTAAGAGTCTCATCTAATCTCTCAAGGTATACTCTTGATCTGTTTTCGAGCTTTAAAGAAGAAATTGTGGAATCATTCTTCAAAATATCGGATTTGAAATAAAGAAGCTGTTGGTTTATGGGTATTCCTGTTCTTTGAACAAGGTTTCTCTTTAATTTTTCCACTGTATCGCTTAAATTTATCGAAATTGAGTATAAATTTCCTGTTCTTGTTTTTATGTGAAGTTTGATTGATTGTGATACTGGTGGTTGATCTACCTTAGCATTTGGTGTTGCTGGTAATGCTTTCTCAATATTCTTTGTATTTGGAAGTTTGAATTGAATTGGAGTAATACTGGCAGATTCAACTTTCTTTTTAGGTGTTTCTGGTGTTTTTGGTTGTGGTTCTGGTGGTTTTTCGACCTTTTTCATTGAGATTTGCTCTTTACTTTGATCATGTGGTCTTTCTACAAAAGGATCCTCTTTTGCATAGAAATGTGGATTGTCAACTATAATGTGTGAGAGATGTGTGCGTATTTTATCGCATTTCCATTCATCAATGATGGATTGAAGTTCAATATTGTCTTCAAAATTGAAATTTGCGTCTTGGTAATTGCACATCTTAATGAATGTATCAAATGCAGTCTCTGAATGCATATCATTGATTTCAAATTTGTTATCTTTACTCATAAGTAATTTTTCTGCAAAAAATTTTGAGTTTTCGGCCATTTTAATTGGATCTACTGAGTATTCTGTTTTGTTGTGAATGATTTTGAATGAGTTCTCTTGCCTTTTAAGTGCTGGAGCATTTATGAACATTTCAAAATTTTAGAAAATTTTAGGGTCAAACACGATAATTCAATGGAAAATTCGGCCATTGGAAACTGATTGCATATCAAGCAACACCATCATTGGAATTTTATAAATTTCAATGAATAGTTGTATAAAATTCCATGAACAGCTAGATTTTGATCTATTTCCAGTAAAATTGGTACGATCTTGGCGATAGATATGGTATAATTTATGGTAGATTGTTGTAAGCTTGAAAGAATAATCAAAGATTAACAAAACTATAATCAGATTATCGATTTTTAGTAAAAATGATAAATGAGTCCAGGTGTTTGTATAAAATTTTCATTCATTTCTATCTGCGCTCGGAGCACCCCGATAGAAATGAATGAAAATTTTATTCAATAGTAGTAGGATAGGATGGGTTGTGTGACTTTTTTTGTTACATCTATATATAGACGATGCATTAAAATATATTTATATACTAAACGCATTTTAAAAAATTAACATTAATTTTAAAATAATTTATTTTTTATCTTTTATAAAAGAAGCTATATATATAGATGATGTCAGATATTCCGCGATTAATTAAACATTGTTTAAATCCTGAATGGAATCAATGGAGTCATAATCAAAGACCTCATAAACGAGTAAAAGAAATTAGAAATAATTATTTTCATGAATAAAAGATTCACTACCATAATGAAATAAAAAAATAAAAAAATAAACTTTAAAAATTTATGTCTCAGAATCAACATTGAACTTTAAGAAACTAATGATTATTTGAATTTATGAAATCAATTATTTGATTCATTCTTTCTTCAATCTCTTCTATTCTTTTTGTTAAATCATCTATTTTCATTAATGAGGTGATTCTTGATTGAGGAATAGATTTCAAACTAACCACCCCTTTTATTTTTGAAATTTTGAATCCATCAACTTTAAACATTTTATTCAATTTACATGTTGTCAATTCTTCAAATAATTTTTTATTATTAGCATAATAGTCATTAAATTCTTCAACAGATGAAAAAATTTTTATTTCAGTAATTGGTTTAACAACGTTTATTTTTTGTTGAACATTTTCACTTTCATTTATTTCTTCCTCCTCTGTTTCATTTATTTTTAAAATCGGTTTCATTTATTGTTGTAAACAGAAATTCATCAAAAGTGACACCTCAGAAAAGCTAAAATATTGAATTTTTGGAACTTTTGATAGAGCACGTTTTTAAATATTAATTAAAGTAAATGTATATTTTGTAAAGATTCTTTTTAATAAAAAATAAAATTTTGAAGAAGAACACAAAATCTTCTAAAAATAATATCACATAAACTCATATTATTTCTAATATATAACTATTTTATATAAAAATCAAATTCAATGATCTTAAAAGCGAAGGATAAACCTCAAAATTTACGAATATAATGAGTGGGAATATAATGCTTATCTATCATAAAACCATATGAAATATCAATTTTTGCTTTACGCCTAATTTTTGACGACAATTAGCAAAAAAATGTTAAATTTAACACTCAGTCCATTTGAATATGAAAAATAAAATTGACTTTGATTAAATGTTTTTATTTATCATGCAATTCTTCTTGCGACCAAAGATTTGATTAAAAGTTCAAAAAATATAAAATCAAAAATAATTGTTATAATTTAAATGAAGAAGTAATTTAAAACGATTTTATTTATGATCAAATTTTATATATTTTTTTGGATCAAATCCATTTTATAGAATTTATATACTATTCATCTATTAGTAAACACTACCGTATTATTTTTAAGCTATCTTATTTTTTGAAGTTTTATTCAAATCTTTGGTCGCAAGAAGAAATTGCATGAAATAAAAAACATTTAATCAAAGTCAATTTTATTTTTCATATTCAAATGGACTGAGTGTTAACATTTAACATTTTTTGCTAATTGTCGTCAAAAATTAGGCGTAAAGCAAAAATTGTATTTCATATGGTTTTATGATAGATAAGCATTATATTCCCACTCATTATATTCGTAAATTTTGAGGTTTATCCTTCGCTTTTAAGTCATTGAATTTGATTTTTATATAAATAGTTATATATTAGAAAATATATGAGTTTATGTGATATTATTTTTCAGAAGATTTCATTATATGCCTATGAAAAGTACTCTCAAAACTAAATTTTTCCTAATTATAATTAAATCTAGAATATTGTATTATGCTTAGTATTATTTCATTTTTCTCATTCAATTCAGAATTTACAAATGTCAAAAAATTGAGAGCTGTCACTTTTGATGAATTTCTGTTTATTACATTATCATTAAATAAAAATTAGAATATAAGTGATGAAATATATTTTTTAATTAATATTAAATCAGAAATGGCGGCAGGATTCTTTAAAAAATTATGGGATGGAATTAAGAAAGCTGCGGGTTGGGTTTATAAAAAGATTATTAAACCCGTTGCAAACTTTTTGGCACCAGTAGCGAAAACGGCAGGAACTATCATAGGTGGAGTATTAGGTACAAAGCAGGTAATCCGGCGATGGAGCACAAGCAGGTAACGCAGTTGGTGGAATTGCTGAAGGAATACTTAATAAAATAGGAGGTAGATAGTGGAAAAATAAATAAATATTATTTTTATCTTAGTATCGGTTGAAGTCTTTGATAAACTTTTTCTCCTTTATTTAATATTTCTCTTATTGGGCGGCTTTTGGTGTTATTGATTCAGCAACGTCACTAATTGCTTCTTTATTCTTAAATATCCAATTTGCTCCTTTCTTCATTGTTTCCCAAACTTTATGCGCTCCTCTTTTTACTTTATCCCACAGTTTCTTAAAGAATCCTGCAGCCATAGTTGATTATTTCATTAAAATTAAAAATTCATTTTCATCTTTTAATTTTGATTTTTTATTTATTAATAAATGACGACTAACTATTTGGTGCCAAACACTAAACCAATTAATGGAAATGTGTTTCATTCATTCGAAAAGATAAATGAAATATTCGCAAAGAATGACGGTAGAAGATATTATAGAGAACTTGAAAGTTCATGCTATGACTCTGATGCTCCATATTTTGATGATAAACAAACTCATTTAAGAATTACAAATCCGGCTCATGATGTGAACCAATTAGGTGACACATATATTAAACGCAAAGTTAAAGCAACTCTAGTTTCAAATAAAGCTTTCACATGTGATACCGCTTTTAAATGCATGCGTTTATTCGTTGGTTACAAATCATCAAATCAAAGCTTTAAACAATTAGAAGTAGAAACCGAAAGAGGTGATGCCGGTTATCTTCAAATGGATTGCGCCCGTGAATCTTTCGCATTTGCAACATATAAACCAAAATCAGAAAGGAAAGTTAAAAAGTTTGTTCATTCGTTATATAATAATGTTCAAAAATATGATAACTCAGTATGTGGTAAATATATTGACCCTTCAGAAGTTTTCGAGAACGCAAATAAAGAAGTTGATATCACTTTTGATATGATTATTCCAGTAAATGATTTGTTAGCATTTCAGGCGTTCGATGATTATCCTAAATCATTTGGTGATATCATTCTTAAATATTATGTTTTCAGGGATACTTTAGTATTTTGTCAGGTTGACCCGTTAAGAGTTGCTGATTTACAAAATTACGTTTATGAAAAGATAACTGATGAAAATTATGAAAAGATTATGAATCATGTTTATAAATATGATCGCAAATTCCAACAAATCGGACTTCCTGCCAATTAATTACAAGCTTAGCCGCTACATCTGCTGACGCAACAGTTGATAACGTTATTATTTCATGCACAAAGATGGAAGTTTTAGAGGATAAATGCATTACACCAGGATACGGTTTAATTGAAGAATCAGTTAAAGCAATACACGTTTTATTCAGTAAGGAAGATCCATTCATGATTCCAGCTCAACATATTGACGTTCGTTCACTAAATGGAGGTTGCATCACTCCTGAAGGTATCAGCTCAGATTTCTCATACGCTCTTCATAATGTTACAGATGTTGTGTTAACATTTCCGAAGAATGCAATGCAAAGAACGGTTTTAGAAAATCCAATGCTTCGAGGTCTTCAGGTCACTATAGATTCCAGAAAACTTCCCCGATCAAGCGATGACCACAGTGGGTGACATATTCTTTACACGTATGCTTCAAGCTTCTGATTTAGATGGAGTGAATGAATGCACAGAAGAATACGAGGACTCATTAACTAGACCACTGAATGATGATGATGGCACGCCATTAGCTAGAACATGGAAAGACCAAACTTCATTCTTATGCACTATTCCAGTTCAACGTGATGGAGCGGGTATATTCTTTGATGGATTAGAAACTTTCAACTCACAAGTTACAGTACAAGTGAAAGCTTATCCAATCATTCGGGGTGTAAATGACACTTACTGTTCAAAGGTGACAAATCCTCCTCAGGTTTGGTTTACTAGGACTACATATTGGACATGGACACCGGATGAAGGTTTGAAATATCATCCAACAGGTACACCACCACAGTATAGAAGTTCATATGATGAAATATTGATGAATAGAAATGTTTAAAATTATAAATTTATTTTTGATTAAATGGATTTAAATTCATCCACCCCTTATGAAGAATTAGCAGGAGTATATAATACATACGTAGATGATATGATTAATGAAGCATTGAGTGATAATAGAAATGCTCTATCTAAGGAAAAATTAATGAAAATTCCATATTCTGAATGTTACTTAAATTCAATCACTGCAGCAATTGGTAAACAAAATAAAGGTAAAACATTAACGATATTAAAACAAATTATCATTATTGCTAACACTTCCACCTATTCACATGTGTTAATTTATATCAACCGTTCAGGTTCACCTTCAGATGATACATTTGAATCTTTAAAGCATTTAATCAAAATTCCAATTATTTATTTATCACAAGAAGAAGCAGAAGATTATTTAAAAAACTTTTTAATGTATAAAGAATTATATAATACAATCAATAAGCAAGGATTATAGGATAAAATTATTGATAAACAACGGGATGAATTATT